AATGACCAATATTTTAGCAGTCATTTTAGTTTACAACAAAATGTTATAACAGCATTATTTATGTTGAGAATTTTTCATATTAAATATTATATTAATACTTCTATCTATACGCAAATAAAAATATATAATAATTTTTAATTATATACATAATTTTATATGTTTTACATATTTTTTTAATGTGCTTATGCTACACCAAAATCAATAAGTTAAAGCGAAATTATAGTTTTGGCATAAAGTTCAATTATTTCTGCTTTATCTGCAACAAAGTGTTTAAAAATAATTATATTTGATTTTTAATCAAATTTAATAAAAACAAATGACTACATACATTTTTAAACAAACTTAAAAATGTACAAATTTTAAGCAAAAATATACAATTTAATTCCTAACTAATTGCAATGGCATTGAATTAAAGTCGCTCCAATTGTCGAATTATTGCAGCGTCCACAGTAACAAATATTTTGTTACGTGCAATTATCACTTATACTTAAATTCGTTGACGTTGTTGTTGGTGTTGCTGTTGTTGTTGTTGTGTCTGACGCTGGTGTATTTGTTGTAGATTCATTTATATTGGTATGCAAATTAGAATTGGTATTTGATTCGCTGTTTCTATTTGAGGTTACACCGCTTAAATTTGCATTTGTTGTTGTGTTTGTTGCATTGGATCTTGGATCATTATCATGTTTCCAACGATTTAATGCTGCTTCACGTTCAATGGCATCGAAATACCAAACAGTTATGGCATAACGTGTACGATGTGCAGGTTGTACTTCATGTGGATTACGATGATCTGACCAGAAAAATATGAGTCTATCGAACTTTGGTTCGATATCTGCTATTGTTTGTCCTCGCTCAGGAAATATTCTGCAATTAAAAATTATTTTAAATTTATGAAATTATAAAAAAATTATTCAAGATTTTACCTCAGTATTCCACCGCTACGATTTGTATCCCAATTTACATTTAAATAGTAAATAGCTGTTATAATACGCCCATCTTTATGAGGATTGTCTACGTGTCTAACGTAGTGTGAGCCTGAGCCAGGATAACAAGCAACCATAGCCTAAAAGAATATTCAAATTAATTCAATATTTTGATATAAAACTAACTATTATTGTGATACATAATATACGTACATTTGTTAACCTATTCTTTCATATCTTTTTTTTATATACTGAAGATGTTTACTATCTAATTGCAAGAGAATTTTAATTTTTTTCCTGTATCTGATGATCAGCAAACAAAAAGAAATAAATCTAAAAACGTCTCGATAATAGATATTGCGGCTTGTGATTTAAAGAACACTTGTTACTATTGAGTTTACTATTGTGAGAATTGTGTTTTATTATTATTATTTTTATTGTTGTGACTTTTTGTAAGTTGAGAGGTAAGGTAGACCAGAGCCTGTATAAAGGATTTAACTTTTAAAAGGATGTACCATTTTAGAGGGACAGATTGAATATAAAACATAAGAATTGGGATATGATTTTCTATTAGATAAATAATGCAATAAGAAAAAGGGGAGATGGAAAAAAAAAAATATTGTCTATATATCCAAAAACTAACATATATTTGAAAGTCAAAAACCCTGTCTCTGTTTGAAATCACATAAGTGTGTACAGAAAGGGACATAATAGGCGATAGAGCTTGAAATTTATGCAAGAGTGGAAGAAGCAATCCGTGGCAAGTAACGTTTAGCAAGTGGTTACATATGATATAAGGAAAGAAGCGTTGTAAAAGTTAATACAGAGATATCAAATATAACTTATATTAACTTTAGAGAATCTCAACAGTGCACACAGGAACATCGAATTCACACACGAACGAGAAAACAACGGCTGCCTACCATTCTTAGACCTACTTACACAACACAAAAACGGCATTTTCGAATTTAGCATCTATAGAAAACTAACGAGTACAAAACGTGTCATAACCAACAATTCAAATCATTCATTCCAACACAAAATGGCTGCCATTCATCACATGATACATAGAATGCTCACATTACCCCTTACACAAGCAGCCATCAATGAAGAAACCTCATACATTAAGGAAATAGCGGACATCAACGGATACCCTCAGAACACCATCGATAGAATCATAAAAAAGAAACGAAGGCAGCTACATTCCAGGAACGTGACGACGCTGACAGCAGAAAAACCAAAACAAAGAAGAGTCGCCGTAGTATACAACAACGCCGTCTCCAAAGGTCTAAAATCCAAGTTAAAAAAGTTCAATATCGACTTAGTTCACTCCAGTAGGCCACACCAACTCGAAAGCCTATTACCATCGAATGTGACCCAATGTGGCTCCTGCAACAAAATACATCGGACAAACAAAAAGACCCTTATCAGTAAGACTTGAAGAACACTTAAAGGAAGCAAGAGAAGCACCGAAGAAAATAAACCCCCACATAAAATCAAATGTCGCCAGACATGTAGTAAAGGAAAATCATCACATCAACAGGGATAACGACCAAATAATCAAAAATGTAAGGGATAGCTGGAAATTAGAAACAGCAGAGAGCATCGAAATACATAAACATCAGGCCACAACTTTACTCAATGGCGATAAGGGAAAAGTATCAGCATGACTTTTTAGATACATCCAAAAACACCAACAACCAGTCGATCTAATTACCTGTATGTAACAATAAAACAAAACCAGTCCAAACCCCGCCACCATTTCTTACTTGTCACCCCCAAGCACAATAACCCTATCAAAATTAGTATTAAGAAATAACATGTAAATAGTATAAATAGTTTGTAAGATTGCTATATTTTTTTAATATTAGGAATTCTCCTAATGAAGGCAAAAGCGAATTTGCCGAAACACGTGTAGGGATACACAACATAAAACTTTCGAAATAGAAGTTAATATATTCTAAAAAACAAAAATAACCGCATTTTTTATTAAGAGTCCGAGACCGTATTAACTTCATGAGTCGGAGCTATTAGTAGTTAATTGAACTTAGATTAGTATACGACGTAAACAACATCATAGGAGATATAACTTGCAATCTAAACTCATATCAAGAATGGAAGGAATAATTAACAATAAGTAACCGTTGAAAGTACCAATTGGAGATGCGGTTAAAATTAAAATACAATGCATACAAAAAAAATACTGCATTGGTATATAGTATTAATAGCCAGGTTTCGTCGTTATTTGCTTTTTCACGACATATATTTGGTTTTGTGGTACTTTGTTTTAAAATTGTTTTTTCATTATTCAACTATAAAAAACAAACTGGTTAAAAAAACAAACAACAAAAAAATAACAAGAATAAAAATTTTAATAAAATAATAATAAGCGGGCTTTAATGCCAAATTAAGTGAAACCTTTATTGTACATTATTTACAATAACAGCTCTTTCTTATAAAATTTTTCAATATTTCCATCCATATTTGTAATCAATTAATATAACACTTTTTAGTCCTTGTTTAAGTGCAGTTAGCAAGCATTTTGTTATTAATTATTATGTTGAGGCTAGTTGAGTCAGTGCACTTGAGCACTTTTACTCTTTATTAATTGCGATGTTTCTTCAGAACCCCTCTCTACGCCTTGACTGGATTATTGTATTTAATTTAACCGTAAAAATATTTACACAATCTTTATCTAGTATTCAAACTATTACAATTTTATAAGCTTATTAATAAATATAAATAAAACTAAAAAATTACTACAGTGCACAAGTATCAATATTTAAATATGGAACTGAATTTTAAATATTTATTTCAAAACAAATTTACCACTTTTCGAATTTTTTTAAAAATCATTTAGCAAATTAACACATTTGTAATATAGATTTATGTTAAGCATAATTTTTTTTTTATCAATTACTGGTCAGTTTTTTATTTTTTTATATTTATACTTTATCTATTTTTTTAAGAGCCTCTTAGGATCCTTCATGGCGAACACCATAACACAGGTAAGCTGCTCGTAAGATTTCGGAAATTAATAATAACTTCAAATGTTCTCAAACCGCACAAGTTGGATGTAACTGTGCTCTCTATAAATAACCGCAAATAATACATTGATAACGAGGTGGCAACAGAATGATGAGACAGCGCTAATTCGACTTATGGAAAGTCAGCACTTAAACCAAACAACCATTTTTCGAACAACATTAACATAAACAATTTTCGAATTTTTTTTCGCGTGTGTTAACAAATTTTTTGTCATAATTCACAACTCTATTCACACACAGTTTATTGTGACAAAAAAACTAAATTTCTGTATTTAGCAAACACTTAATTATTAACAGCATATTCAAGTATACATATAGTATATATAAAATATAATATTAATGTTTTTAACATTTGCGATAGTTTATATTTTTGAGATTCAGACATAAAAAGTAGGTTAGACTCAACTCCAATTCTATTTAATCGATAGGTCCATATAGGGTTTTCACCTACCATGGTGTACGTGACATTACAAATTTATCTTATCACATTTTTTATTTGCAAAACTGTTTTTATCCGTCCATTACGTTCATAATCATAACATTATGCTTTTTTATAACGTACTACATTTTTATAGTAGCTTAAATTAACATTAAGATATGTTATCTTTATTATTTTTTATATATTATTTTTTAAAAGATTATTGTTTAATACAATAAAATTACGATTTATTAAATATATATTATTTATACATATTTTTTGTGTATAAAATTTTTTGAATTTATTTATCGGCGCGTTTTTTTATAATGATTTTTATATATTTTTGAATCCAGCTATAGGACCCTCTTTGAATAATAATTTAACGTTTAATATTTTTATTATATTCTATATTTTTTATGTATTATGTATGACCTGCTCTTATATTTAATTTAAATGTGTTAAATTTGTAATTAACATTATTAAAATTTTAAAATTCAAATATTTGGTATAATTGCTATAGTTTCTGTAAATTATTCTTCAATTATTTGATTAATTAAAAATAATTATATTCCAATATATTTCACTAATGATGTCATTTTTACAATTTAAATAAAATTTTGATTATACTGATGCTAAAATTTTTTTATTAGTATTGACTCAGAAACGTCTTAGAATTTTGTCAAATTTTTAGAGTTTTTTTTTTTATTTTTATACCATTCACAAATGCTGTAAAGACGACAACTTGTTAAGGTATTTAATTTAAGATTTAAATTTTTTTCTTGACTTTTATTTTTTGTTTTGTTCATTGAGAAGACGAATAATTTAATATTCTTAAGCTCTTAACTGTTACGCAATTTAAAGGATCTTAAACAAATTTCCGAATTGTTGACTAAGGATTTAATTGAAGTCGCGTAATACGGAACGTCATCAAAAAATAACTATAATTTTCTAATTTATCTTAAGTCATGAATTTTTTTATGTATTGGTTGCACTGCCAATAATATACATGTTAGATATCTACAGTTGTGATGCTTGGTTCGATTATATCGAGTGAATGAGTTAGTAGTACTTTGATGTATTAAGCGAAAAAGGTTACATGGAATTGAATTAAAAACCAAATGAAATGCAACAAGCATTCAAAATATAAAATAAGCTTTTTGGCGACGTTACTACGTCAAATTACTACAAGTTCATCTATGTTAATTGTTTTTGTAACTGACAAGAGCGCATAAATTTTGAATTCGGAATCCTTTAAAGAAAAGGATCCTTTTACAAATATATCTATTGACTCACCAAAATTTTAATCAGGTGAACTGAAAGTTTTGTATTTGGCTACATAATAACATTAAATTATGGTATTTTCATATATCAAATTTTAATATAAGTTCGTTATGAAATTATAGAAGAAATGATTCATATTGTATCTTCTACTCTGCCCAACCACAAATTCACTCTATCAATACAAATTGTTAAAATACTTATCATAAGAGAATGAACATAAATTATTCATTTCAAACTTTAATAATAATGAGTATTTAATAAATCTTTGTAAATAGTATTAAAGCCTTGATTAAGCCAAGACTAACTGATTGTTTATTAAAAAATTTACGTTGAAAAATTAATATACATTCACATATTTAGCTCTGATTTCTCAGCATAAAATTTCTTGTTAATT